GGACTGGGGTGTGCTGATGGGGCGGGGATTGATCCCTCCTCCCCTTGAGCCTGTTTGACTCTGCGTGCTGATGGGACTGTATTTGTATGAGTATCACGGACACACAGACGAGTGTTACGGTTAATGACAGTTTCTCCCACAGGTAGTCTGGTGCGTGCGCGTTGGTGTATGGCGTGTGGCATGCCTGCCTCGGTGGTGTGGTTTCTGCAGTGTGCGTGTGTGTCGTGTGGTGTGACTTGATGCTGCCTTTCTTCTGTGCGATGAGTCCCCAGCTGCTTGCAATAGTGATCCCGCCTGCACTTTGCTCTCTTGCCTGCGTGAATGGATGGTCTTGATGCCCGGTAGACTCGAGATCAGACGATCTGGTCGCTTTCCGTTACCTCAAAGCCCTAAAACGCGAGCTTAGTCATGTATTTGCTTCGTCGAGTCGAGTACAGCTTCGAAGGTTCGGTATAGGTAGTAGAACATCTGGAAGAATGGACGTCGCTACGACGGCTCCCGGTCCCAGTCGTAAGTCTGACCCTCTCCACCCAGGCGGACCTCCTGCACGCGGCAGCGATGCCGCTGACAAGGCCGGCGCGCTGCTCATCGACGGCATCGACAAGAGCATCAGCGAGCTGACTCTCGAGGAGGGGAGCGGGAGCCCGTCCAAGGGCGGCAAAGGAGGGGTGAAATTCAGCAGCCCGGTATGGCTGCAGCGAATGCGGCTGGCTATCGACCTTCTGGAAGCGTGTGGAGCTCACAAGGTGCGTGGCGGGGGAGGTGGGATTGAGGGGATCGCAGTGTGGTGTGGTGTGGTTGTCATTGATGTCAGGTTGTTGATCTGGGCTGTGGCGAGGGGAAGCTGCTGGGCCGTATCGGCCTGAACAACGCCCTCGACACCGATAGTGTACTAGTGGTGAGACCAACCGACCAGACCAGACCAGATCAGATCCACGAGTGCATGCGATGCGCCTTGTATGCCGTGGTGTGGTGTGGTATGTGGTGGTTTGTGTCAGGTTGGCGTCGATACCGACGAGAATGCCCTCTTCGACAGCGACAGGGTGAGTTAGGGAGGGAGGGAGGGAGTGAGTGAGCATGGCATAGACGCCGCGCACATGCAGAGAAGGAGGCGTGGATGTGATTTGGACATCGCTGGCTGCATTGCATTGTGGGGTGTGCGTGCGTGCGTGTCTGCCAGTGGTGTGTGGCCCCGTTCGGTCGGCACCTGTGTGTGGCGTGGCGGCGGGACTTTCCGCTCAGGCTGAAGCTGCTCAAAGGTGAGACTGAGACGACACAGAGGGCTGCTGGGTGGACGTGTGGGTGCTCGAGTGGATGCTCGTGTCGCGCTGTGTGTGTGTGTGGATGTAGGGGACATTCTGCGTGTGCCGCTTGAGTACAAGGGCTGGCCCGACGCAGTGACGCTCATCGAAGTGTACGCACCGCCCCCGAATTACACACACACACATGGACAATTGATGCACACAGTCCCTCTCTCCCTCTCTCTCTCTCTCTCTGTGTGTGTGTGTGTGTGTGTGTGACGCTACTCGCCAGGATTGAGCATTTGCAGCCTGCTGACCTGCCGGCCCTCAGCAAGAGCATCTTTGGCGACCTTTGCCCAGCCATGTGCCTCGTCACCACGCCAAACAAAGACTTCAACCCCCTCTTCTCCGACAAACCAACGTGCCCACTCTCACACACACACACACGCTGGGGAAAGGACAAATGGTGCATTTGGCTGTGTGTGTCCACGTGTGCAGTTTCGTTCGCCACTCTGATCACAAGTTCGAGTGGACGCGCCAGGAGTTCCAGGTGACCAAGCGCACGAACCCGCGCCAACGCAAAAATGCCAACGCTGGTCTGTGTCTGTGTGTCTGTCTGTCTGTCTGGCGATAGGAGTGGTGCCTGTCCGTCTGCAAGAGCTACCCCAACTATGACGTCTTCTTCGTCGGCGTCGGCTCGCCGACACCGGCCCACCCAACGCCGCCCTCTCTCCTGCCTCCCCCTCCCCCTCCCTCTCCCTCTCCCTCTCCCTCTCCGTCACACACCAACACCAACACGCCCACCTTCATCTACACCAACCCTACCACGCTCAGCCACTCGCGACACGGCAAGCCATTCGGCATCGTCAGGCTGCTGCCGCCCGACAGCTACATCGACGCCTCAGGCAAAGCCACGGCCGCAGCTACGAGCAGTGTGCTGGGTGTGCCGTACACGACCGAGTGTGCGCCGGATGCCGCCGCGTGGGCCATGTCCCAGGCGTATGGGTGCTGCACTCAGTGTGCTGTGTTTCGGAGGAAGGATGATGGCGGTGCAGCCATTGGTGCAGGGGGCGGGGGCGGGGGCGGGGAAGTGGCGGGGTGGAAGGACTTCGACGGCTTCTGGTGGCCCAGTGTGAGGGACGAGGGATACGACCGAACGGTGAGCGATCCAGCGACGGTCAGACAGACAGACAGAGAGAGAGACAAAGGAGTGAGACCTACATAGCGAGCATCTATCACTGTCTGTCTGTCTGTCTGTGTCTTTGTTTGTCAGTCTCGGATTGTCGGTCTCGTCCAGCGCTTTGCACAGTAAGCCCCACCCTCCCCCACCCCCCACACACATGGGCACACACAACACCAGACCCACGAGCATACGGACACCACCTGTCGGTGGCTCTGTGGCTAGGTGGTGTCCGGTGTGTGTCAGGCCCCCGATGGAACCCTATGGCCGGCCCACCGATGAGGAGCTCGAGGTCGAGGCCGAGGCCATCCCCGACCAGACCCTCGACCTCACCGACGTGTGGCAGGAAGACACTGAGAGCGCCAAAGAGGTCAGTGAGTGAGTTAGTGTGTGGGCAGACACGCAGATCAGATACATTAATGGATGGGCGTGTAAATGGATCGATGGATGCCTGTCTGTGGCGCCTTGTGTGAGTGTGTGTGTGTGTGTGTGCAGCTCCGTCGTCTGTGTCTGAACGACCAGCAGACGCTGCTCCAGGTCCTCTCTGACGACCACCACTTCTCCTTCGCCGACCCCTCTCAGCCGTCACTGGTGACGGTCTCCTTCACCCCGCCCCCATCCATCCACTCTGACACCGAACCAGAAGACGAGATGGACGACGACACCATCGACCAGGCCATGGCCATCGATGGGGAGGAGGACGGAAAGCAGGAGCAGGAGAGCGGTGGATGGGGCGGCTGGGGCGGCTGGGGAGACGACGTCGAGCATCAGGACCACCACCAGCAGCAGCAGGAGCAGCAGGGTAGGGCGGTGGTGGCGATGGATTGGGAAGACGACGAAGAAGCGTGGTGACAGCGGTTGCCTGGCTGCTTCACTGCTGCATGCATGAGAGAAATGGATGGATGGATGGACGGATGTGCAGTTTGTGCCGCCAGGGGGGGGGGCGGGCCGGGGC